TTTGATTTTTTTATATTTTTGAGTGGCAATTCCTGGTTTCCTTAGTCTAGATAAAATCTTCAACCAACTAGTCAGTTTTGTGAAAAATTATACCCTATTTACACCCAAACGCTCTGATTTATATACCCTATCCTAGAGTAAACTGCTTGAAAACCATACCTTTCAAAGCAGCACATACCTACATAGCCCATATATGGCAGTGTCCCCCCCACCGGGTCAACAAGAATACAGGAAAACCCTGACACGCAAGAGATTGATGCTTGCTGAGCAACACCATGCAGTTCTCAAGCATCACTGCTTGCGTTTGATAGCCGATTAATTCGGTGGAATGACAACTGGTCGTTTTCCGTTTCTAAGCTTCTTTCTTCTCAACAAAGGCACGGCCAAAACAGTGGATAATGTTACCGATTTCTAAAGTGCATATTCAGTAGAATATCCACTAGCATGCTGATGCAAATTCTGCCATCTGATCGGCTGAGCTACTCGTGATAGTTGACTCGGGTTGCCCCCTTGTTAACCATCATGCAATAGAAATCTCGAGCTCATGATCTAATTGTTTAGTAGAAACAAGATCAGCGTGCGTATTTACATAGGGCTATTAGAGTGCAGTGGCTGTCGTCGTCTACGAAATGGCGACGTTTTTTCTTTTTCCCGAATTTTTGGCGTAATGTTTAGATGAAAATGGATAATTAAATTCCTGAGAAGACAAAAGAAGGTCATTAACGGTGTTTTGACTTTAAAAACTTGAAATTATTGTACAAACCAGTGCGCGCACGTAAGTAATTGCAAATTTCCAATGGCAATTGTCTGTGCGATTTTGTTGAAGCGTGAAGTTTAATAATACGTAGAAAAACAATTTGAAAGGGTAATTTGCTTTTATTTCAGTTGGAACTCTACTAAAACAATTAGATTATTCGCTGTCGATTTCTACGAGGTCACCTCGTAGAAATTGAGTGCAAATAATCTAATTGTTAAATAGTTTAGGGTAGTTTTCTTCAAAACAACATAGGTGCGAGTCTTTTTCCGAAGGGCACCCGCTAAGGTATTGTGCTCCGGCTTGAGTTTTTATGCTAGTAACAGAGCCTCATTATCGAGCTGGGATAAACTCATACAGAATCATGAACATTATATTGGCATCACGTAAACACCTTCTTAAGTCGCTCCTTCGATGTGTTGAACCAGCAGAAGAGCTTGTGAGTGACACTTTTGCCGTAATTTGGCCAGATCCCCAGGGGATGGGTTAACTCCAGCTGCTGAGTTGCACTTGCAGCTTGTATTTCCGGGTGAACGATATGTGTCAAAATATGTAACCCTAAATTTTTAGTCTGGTCGATATCACTGACTGAAAGTATCCACGTAACACAATTTGGTTAATACAAGTGAATTAAGAGACTATTTAATTCTCTTTTACTTAGGGACCAAATGATTGTCTGTAATGCTGAGTTCTGCACTCAGCAATTTCAGATCGGTGAAGAGAATGGTAAGTTAAAACTTAATGTACTCGTAAAAAAACAAGCCGCGTCAGCATTTCTGTCAAGCTAGACTCAAGCTATCATATGAGAAGGGGGGAACACTGCCCCCAAGAGCTTCCCACGGCCAGAGAGGGAGAGTTTGCTTTTCCTGCTTCTTTTCTTTTCTCAATCAAAAATCACTGCCTAGAAAATCTGCAAAAACGAGAAAGAGACAAGAAGGAAACAACTCTGGGACCAGGGTGTTGGTCCCCATCCCCATAGAGCTTTCTATGCAGGTTATCATTAATAATCTCTCTTCTTCTCTCTTTGCAGCTTCAAGAATAAAGTGTTAATTGAAAAATGTAAATAAACTGGTACATGTTGATGAAAGAGTCCGTCCAATTTTATTGCATAGCTCATTCTTGCACCCTGATTGGTTACTAAGGCGAGGTATTACTGTCTTATAAATTTAGTTTTTAGGCCTTCTAGAAAGGACTATGAGTATTATTTGAGAACACCTCGGCCGAGTGACAGCCCAGAGGGGCTGCCTCTCCAGAAGGCACTCTGCCATTAATCTAATACATTTATAATGTCCAGTGATGAGCTTGTGAATAGCCACGCTATTATTATTATTAGTATTATTATTATTATTACAATAGAGCTGTGATCGTCAGAAAAATAAAATAAATCTGTTTAGCGCCTTTTGAAACAAAGAATGAGAACACTGGGCTATGTTCAGTGTAAACTGATCTTGTAGCTAACGTCACAGTGGCTCCCGCGTGAGGTGTAGCACATCTGGTTTGGAAAAGCGGACAGAACATATAAACATAAGTAGTCAAACCACAAGTATATTCTTCTTTTCTGGTAGCCTTGTGTGAATTAGACTGCAAGACGCCCTCCTTCTTCCTAAAGCTAGGGCACAATCTAGTGTATATACAAATTACCCTTGTGCCTTTCATGTTTTGCTGCTCTCGCACTGTATGAATTGAAAGGAAAGAACGTCCTCGAGGTCTAGTCAGAAGTGTTTGTTGATATCAACTACAATTTTCTGGCACCCGCTTCACGAGGTTCTTTGACAATGTAGCTTTACTAGCTGTGATTGTGGTGTAGCTCGATGGAACATGTGTTGGTGCTTGGCTGAGTCAGTCAGATTCTTAAACCACATGGTGCAGTTCTGTTTTTCTTGTGGTTATGCTTATGTCAAGCGCGTTACTAGTGAAAACAGCACAAGGCAAATAAGTGTGTTTGTTCTTATGTTTCTGCTTATGTTTATGTTTATCGTGCAGCTGTTTTCATTTGTGCTTATGCTTGTGCTTTTGCTCTAGTGAAAACCAGCCAATACTGACATTTTATATTTGTAAAACAGTCCTAAGCTTTTAAAAAACACCAGATTGAATCAATTTCCCTCAGCAGACGTCTTTTCTTGACAAAAATTGTCACCGTAATGTTAGTTCTGCGAAATGCATTGTGCTTGTCAGTTTTCAGCTTTGATGGCATTTGTGAGCCAAGTTCCTTTCAATTAAGTAAAGAGCTTACTTTGACTGCTAGAAGTTTTATGATTTCACTTGAGCAATTGACTATGTTTTTTCTCAATTACCTCTATTCGTTATAGGTTTGACGAGTAAACCAAGGGATATTTCAAAAATTTGGTAAGTTATTTAAATATTTAACAGCATTACAATTTACCGTATTTTTGCACTGGGCCTTTGCCTTAGTAATGGTGGGCAAAATATATGGCTTACTTTAAAGAATAAGAACTGTTGATTGATGACAAAACACTGTGGAAACTGTGAATTTGATACTTAGTGGAACTGGAAGATTTCAAGTTTCAGTTGATTTCATTATTATGGCTGGCAAGCGGTACGAAAGGGAACGTAACGGAAGACGGTGTTACTCGCATGAAGCGCACACGGGCGTTAGAGCAAAAGAGAGAGTGCTCACAGTAAGATGAATCCTAGTAATCCTTTTAAGAGCTTGCCACAACCACTGCTTTTGCAAACTTCGTGGTTATTTATATCATGTTACACAACCAGATGTCTGCCTGTTGGTGTAGACTATGAGTAGACCCTCCTTTGCTTAGTCCGTCGTGCATGATGTGGGAGAAATGAAAACCGCGAGGAAAAACATTGCTTGGTGAGGAAAAACTGACACCAGTGGAGGTGATCTCAGGCCTGGTGTCATTGAGTTTTTTATGGAGCAGATCATTAAAGTCAATGGGCAATCAGTTTGCTGCCTTTTAGCTGTTGTGTGCTGGTTCCAGTCCCATCCCTCACGGCACTTGTTTGGTGCTCTAGTAGACTTGTGGTGCAAGGATCTCTTTGAATTAGAAGGAGCAGCCATGAAAGAGTGATTTCATTTGATCTGAAAAATAACATCTAGCAATAAGTACCAAATAGTCAAACTGATCGAAAGAAGACAATATATGACATCTGTAGTTATATTTCACTGTTAAAGTAAAATCACCCTAAGGTTCAGATGTACTATTATTTTGCAACAAGCAAGCATTCACCATTGCAATTTAACAGGAATAAATAATAGAAATTTTCACTAGCCTGTTCAAAGCATTAACCGAGTTGTTTCAATGCTCTGAAAAGTCGTTTGCTCTCCATTCAGTACGCATCAGTTTTTAGCCTTTTAACGGAAAAGCGTTAATGTACGTTTTCCTGTGGAAGGTCACATTTTATTACCCATCCAATATCTCTATATATTTTTTTACTCTTTTGGCGTGGAATTGAAAACCTCAATTTCTAATCTTTACTCCCTGCAGGGGGGGGGGGACACCGATATGACAAGGATACTGGGATGCCCATCGTTTCGCTTAGAGGTATAATTTTTCAGATTTTTGCTCTTGATTCCAAGAGTGTTCTGGGCAAAACTCCTATATTTTTAGCTGTCAAGGTCTTATTTAGGGTTGCACGCCAATAAATATAGAAATATAAATATTTTTGGTATTTCGATATCTTTCTGGGGTACATAACAGCTTAAGCCACACCTAGATTGGTTGCTTTTAGGGTTTATTCCCAAATTTTTGACGAGCATCCCAGTCTATTTCATATGGGTGTTCCCCTGGGCATTTATCGTTGCTTACACTGGTTTCATTTGTTTGGCTGACAGTTTCGGAAAAGAAGATGACTGCACTATCATTCAAGACACAGGTATTTATCTTTAGTATTTTAATCTTTAATCTTTTTTTCTTGCTAAACTTATGGATTATCATTTAACATACGGGACTTGTGCAAAGTAGTTCTCTTGATCTGGTACAGCTACTTACTCCTAAAACCCTTTGAGCGAAAATTGAAACAGTTTATACATAAAGATAATAAACTTTGGATCTGCGTGGTACTGGATGAGGAAAAAGCATATTAGTTCCCTGCTTGGAAGTGTTCAAGTTTTTCATTAACTTAGTATGTGCACAATATTTATTTTGGTACCATTACCCAGTCCCCCGTAAGAGTCATTGCTGTTGTTTATCTTTACTTGAAACTATTCATGCTGCAATGTTGTCATGCAACCTTTACCCTTTCTAGTGCAACACAAAACTATTTTACACCAGATGGAGAGGGACATGAATGGTTTCATTGGCCTTTCAAACCTGAAAGAGCAGTTTATGAGGTTTACATACACCGAGTTGCAAAATGACAGGAGGAAACGCCTGCACTGCAAAATCAACGATGAGACACCTCTCCATCTGATGTTTGCTGGAAACCCAGGGACTAGGAAAACTACGTTTGCGAGACATGTTGCAGGTGAAGAACAGAACTTTGTTCCAAGTTTTCATTTGTTAATATTCTTTGTGTCATTCATAACGAGTTATTAGACAACTTTCTACAGAGACAATTTAGTATAGGGAAACATTGGTCAGGTAAGGGGGTGGAGAGGTGAGGGCAAACTTTAAAAGGCATTTTCTAGAAGAACAGATTACACATCTTACCAGACTCCAAATAAGTAGAAACATTTCTAGATAGCAAAAATTTCTTTTCTTTACAGCAGTACTTTCTTAATTTTCTCTCAACAGAGCTTCTCTACAGCATAAAGAAAATTACAAAAATAAGATAGTGGAAGTCCAGAGATCTCATCTCATTGGCTAATACCTTGGTTCCACAACCAAAAAGACCAAGGTGGAGATTGTTGAAACACGTGGTGGGGTCCTTTTTGTGGATGAGGTGTACAGGTTGATACCTGGTGGTGGAGGAAAGGATTTCAGCTGAAAAGCCATAGAAGAATTGATAGCCGTGATGGAGGGAGATGATTTTTGCAGGGTACAAGAAGCCGATGGACAAATTTTTAAATGTCAACCTGAACTTAACATCCCATATTTACCAAAAGTTCATTTTCCCGGACCATTTGGCAGATGAACTTGCCCGAATCTTTAATTTAAAAGCTAAGAAAAAGGGGTTCTACATCAGTGAAGTGGATGTGTCAGAAATTTTGACAGCCATACTAGTGAAGAGCAGAGAAAGAGTATGAATGCACGCCTCGTTCACATACTTCTTCAAGAACCCATCAAAGAGTCCAGCAACAGGCTCCCCCTCAATGCCACATTTGATGAGCTCATGCAAATCAAGGAAAGTGACATAGTGGCTCCCTGTTCACGTCTCACACTCATCCTGGGAAGCAACAATGCAGGACAACCATAGGAACCACAAATTCAATAATGCCTTACTTAACATATGGATTTAGGCCAGCCTAGAAGCGTAGCTCTGGGGTGTATTGTTTACAGCCCGATTAAGGCGCAGTTCTACCTGAATTTAAGTGAAATTTTAGGAAGTTTACAGAGAAATTAAATGAAAAAATACTTTTGGAAAACCACCAGACAGTTGATTTCCCCCAAAAGGGCACCCTGGGTTGGTGGGCAGCTGTTTGGTGTACATCTACCATTTTTAAACTTCAAATTCTAACATTTCAAATTCTAACATTATGTAGAACAGGAAGTGTCCAGAAAATGTGTCAACACCATTTCCTGGAATTGAAGCAAGATGCAATCATGCAACATTGTTGGCCTAAAGAAATGAAGGGAGGAGTTGTAGAAAAAGCCTTTGATTTAAAGTCCGTCCACAAGTGCAATAACTTGAATCCAATTATTCAAGAAAACGAAGTGCAAAAATAATTTTCCTAGTTGATTGTTTAAGTCTTTCCCACAAAACCGTGAACACCAGAGAAAATTTCTGGAATGTTTATTGTTTCACGAGCAATCAGATGGAGATAAAACCGCAAAGGTAACCATTCATATCTAATGTTGACAGAGTTTATCCTGTCAAACAATGATGCAAGATGTATGTACTTAAAAGTATGATCCAGCTATATACATTCTTAAAAACGCTTCCACTGAATAGAGAAAAACCAGGCTTGTAAGGTTCTTCTTGGCAGTCTGTTTTCATTTACCGGTCAGAACTACTGAGCCAAGTGATAGAGATTGCCCAGATACCTACAGCAGATTGGATTCTTGATTAACGAGATTGTGATTTTCTTGACAATTAGCACTCTTTTGTGGTGAAAGGTTTCCTTCTGATAACAAGAGCAGCCACAGTGGGACAACAAATAAATACTAAGGGAACTTGCAAAGTTGAAAAAAAATTAAGGTCACATTCAAAGAACGCTGAAAAATATAGATCGAATGGTGCAGAAAGGTTGCCATGTTCCCTGCGTTTTGTTTTTGTTTGTGTTCCCTCAAAAACAAAGCACAAATTAGCGAAAGTAGAGATAAATTCAAGTATTTTTTAACCTCTCAACGGGTGTTATAGTCCTAGGTATTGTGGACTTATTGTACATTAGCACGAGGAGATACGTACCTACACGCATACATGCATAGATACATAGTTTATTTGTCATGTAGGTCTTTGAAAGGCAGCTAAAAAGTTGACACTCTGTAAACACAATTTTTTATCATCAGTTTTTTAAGATTCGCCTCCTGCACAGATGTTCTTTGTCCTCTACACGTGCTAGGTAAACACTACTGAAGAAAATTGTGGCGGCTCTTGTTCGGAAATAACCACGAGCGTTTGTATGGGGATCCAACGTAAAAATAACTTAAGAAAACCTGCAATGCAGAAATATTTGTGAATTGTAATCTTAGTTGCTAACCAAAGGATTTTACCAACAAACTTAAAGGGTCCTACGTGGACTAGAAATTATTTGCCCAGCGGAATTATTAAGTTTCGCTATACATCTGTTTGTAATTTCCGCTCAGTCAAAAAGATTTCTGATAAATGCTAACCAGTCAAGATGGTTTTCAGCACTGAGGTTAGGTCCATTTTTCTTTTTTTTTTCTTTTTTCCAGGTTAGGTCCATTTTGATAGGCCAGCATGCCAGGTGTGGAAATCGGAGTAGGTAGACGCACTCATTATAACCATGCAGTAAAATCACCTCCCACAAGAGGAGAGCAACCATGGCGTGCTCTCTTGCCTCTGGCACAATTGTATGGAATGTTGGTAGTAAATGTTTTGTCTACATTCATTGGAACGATTGGCAATATATTGGTGATTGTTACAGTCCACACGAATTGCACACTACAGATAATTTCCAACTTTTGGCTGATGAGCCTGGCTGTTCCTGACCTCTTGGTAACAGCGCTGGGACAGCCAGTTTTTGTGGTCTTCCTGGGTTTGCAAATTGGTGGTGAATGCAATGCAATCTTGTCTTAAGTGTTTTGCCTGATTGTAAATATGTCATGTTCAGTGTCCATTCATTTGTGTTGCATAAGCGTGGATCGATGTCTGGTCATCAGTCGGCCACACAATTTCAGGACAATCAAAACAAAACAGTGATTCAAGATTAGGTTGGTCATGCCGTGAATGCTGCCGTTACTATACGGAATCCTATGGCTGACGGTCAGCAAAAAAGGAACATCGTAGTTTTTAGTCATCGTGGTGGACCTTTGCTACACAATCATTATCTCATGTTACAGTTTAATCATGTTGAAACTTAGAAAGCAAGGCTTGGCAACTCTAAAACATATTCGTGGTTTCTTAGGACAGAGCGTGGCTTTTAAACACATGAGAGAGCATCGCCTGACCGTCATAATAGCTATTGTTGTAATTATCTTCATGATTTGTTGGTTTACTCTATTGTATCTGCGAACTGCCTTCCCAGAGAATAACTTTGACGCTGCCTACAACTGGGCATGGACAGTCGCCCTGAGACACTTCAATGAACCCACTGATTTATTGCTTTAGGAGTAGTGAATTTCGGATGGTTCGTACATTTGGTAGTTCACAATTTGCCTCCTCAAGATTTTAGTTTTCATCACATTAAATTCAATTTTCTTCTTTTCTCGTTATGGAGGGTAAAAAACTCTCTAACTATCGACAAATTTTCTCAACGTATTGTAGAACAATAGTTATCCAAATGATAAAATTATTTCTCTGCCCAATTGTACACCCAAGCCGACAAGAATTACGGCAATTACCAGCTTTTATTGACATTTGTGACCCCTGATATAAAGTGCACACAATACAAAGCAAAACAACCTCAGCTCACAAGTCAAAACCAAATCACGGAGAACATTTTCTGTACCCGGGATATCTCTACTCTCGAGTAAAATACGAGTATCTGAGCACAACTTACAACAGGGCAGTAAGGAACTACCCTGATAAAGCTTTTTATCATGGCGGTCCTTGTTAACTTAGGCAGATCATTTCTCTGAAAACTTCCTCAGCGAAGTTAATTGAATGTTCGGTAATCGAGCTCAGTTGATTCCAATAGTGTGTGCATTGTCACGCAATAAAAAATAAAATGAAAAGCCATTCAGCGGATAAAGTCACGAAATTGTGATATTATAGACAATAAATAGAGAAGACAGTTCTCTGAGTTTAAGGTGTGTGTTGTCTCAAAGTTGAGATATTCATTGAAATGTTCCGCACAAAATTATAGAGCCTACTATGGAGCCGCCATGTTGGAGGACCTCGTTAGTCCTCCAATATGCCATAGTCCAGCCAATATGCTGGAAAATAGTGTAAACACCTGGAACCTACTTTGGCCATCTAGACTACTCATTATCTTAGCTGAACCAAAAACATTTACAAAAGCACTTTTTCTAATACTTTAACTCCTAAAATGGCTAAAAATCATGAGATAAGTGTATATTTTTCGACAAACGCAATCTTAGCTTCATGTTATACACCAGCATAACTCCAAAATTCAAAATATACTGGTTTCCAAAATGAAGGATGCTGTTATGCTGGAAAATTGTAAACAAAATTAATATGAATTTAGTAGCTCTTATGCCTGATGAGGATAAAACCTTTAGGGGCTCTTTAGTTTTGGATTTGAGAATTTGATGATGTCACTTGCACACACTCTATCGTTTGGCTGACTTTGATTGGGTTCGGTAATCGAACATAATCAAACACCCAAAAATTTTGCCAATTGAACACAATCGAAGCGGTCGGTGTCATCCCACGGAAAGACAGCTTACAAGGTTTAATGTGTTGGTTCATGCTTTCCAGTATTAACTGTAAATTTATCAATTTTGAATTACTTTAACAATAAAGATTTAAACACAAAGGATAAGTTTTTGGGAGGAGCTTATGGTGAGAGCTAAACAGCATTAAAAGATATATCTCAGTCAACCCTTGAATTCTCAAGTATCTCTTCACTAACCTTGGCCAATATGAAATGATTTCCTAAGCTTTTTTGCACAAACATCACCTCCTGCAAAACAAATTAGTCTAGATAATGCAAAAAAAACAAAACAAAACATATACAGCGAAGTGCTTGGCATGCCTCTAAATCAGTTTGCTAATTGTTCATGACAATAAGTGGCAGTCCTTCAAATTAGCCTAAATCCTGTCGAGTACCCACGAGTTTTCAAACATATTGTCACATGTAAGTCTTGCGTGTTAATGACTTTAATTATCCCAAATGATTATCCGCCCTTAGACCCAGTGCTGTATAAGGCTCTAAGGGTGTCTCTTTGGCAATGACTTGGCAAGACTGTAGCCATACTTTAAAATTAATCCAAAAATATTGAGTTTTTGGGCAAGCCCAAAATAAATGTGCAAGTTTCTCTGTTTCTCTTTTGCAGAAAGTGCATTTCTCGCTATCGACAAGACCAATTTTTTTGAAGAAGTCAACGCAATAAGCTGGTTAAGTTAGCTTGTCATGGGCACCCGACAATGAGTTTCAGTAGATATCTGTTAGGTGGAGGGTAGTTCGCCTTAGCCTTTCGGTGTCGATTACAGAGTGAACTCGGGTTTTCAGCTAGGAAATCCAAACACATATTTTTCTAGCTAACGTAAACATCACTTTAAACAGACTTCGGACATCACAAGGTACTAAAAAATGCCTTGATAAATTGCAAAGCCAAAGATAAGCCAAGTCTTGCATTTAATGTCATTTAATGTTTACATATAACACTAAACCTTGACCGCTTTCATAAAAGTTGGCATAACGTACTGGGTTCACAGGAAGAGACCGGAAAGCTAGAATATAACTATTCTTAAAATCACATTAGTCTTGAAAGTGTGAAATGAATTTCTATAGACTGTGGGCAGTCCCTCGTCAATCTCATGAGCGGGCGAGAGTGAGCAAGTGGAAGTCAGTGAGTGCAAAGCAAGAGCATACTCGCTGACTTTCGAGAAATTTAGATAAACTAATATATCATTCTATGGGAATCATTAACCCAGTCTACAGTAGGTGTAAACTCTAAAATGTTGGCTGCGTTAAAAGTTTTATAGTTTTCGATTACTTTAAATTATTTGAACTCCCTTCGTGTGGCCACAGCCAAAGCTAATGACAAATCTATTATGCAATATTTAAAAGACGCATTGTTGTTAAACAATCACGGATCTTGAATTTAAAAAGAAGCAATGTATCGATACAGTATTTGTTTCATTGCATGTCGGAAGTTCGGAATGCTTTGCAGGCTTGAGCGGTGTTCACACTATGGTTTTGCAAATGAAGCACCCTGGGCCCATCAGCTTCAAAAATGTAGGGGTTCTGT